TGTTATTTTCACTTCTTTCGCTATTTTTTAAAAGTTAGCCTCCGTTGAATGTCTGTCTTTAAGCAAAAAATAAATGATTCCACTAAATATCAAGTTATCCCCATAAGGAGAAATGACAAATATTTTATTTTGTTATCGTTTAGGCACTTTCCGGGTCTTTTCGTATAGGCTAAAATACAAAACTTGGAAAACTCGGGTATTCACCTATAACTAACACATTGCATTCGTTTGGTTAAATTTGAAAGAATTAGTTACATAGATCATGTCTAACTTATCAAATAGACATCTTAGTACAACATCTTCCGCCAATTTAAAAAAATATATATTTTGATACTTTTCCAACTTTTCCCTTTTCCGAGTTTTATGATTTGACTCGATTGAAAACACAAAACTAGGAAAGGTCGGAAAAAATTGTCCGACTTTTTTTGTTTGAATAGAAAACTCGGAAAATATTGTCCGACTGTTCAGTTTGAAACAAAAAGTCGGACAATTTTTTCCGAGTTTTGTGTTTTCAATCGAGTCAATTCTTAAAACTCGGAGAGGGGAAAAGTCGGAAAATATTTTCTGAGTCTTCCGAGCTTTCCGAGTTTTGTACCTGACCCACATATGGCTTTGCAAACTTTCTTATAATCGCGCGTACAAGCCGCTATGCTGTTAAGCATGTAAACAATGGTTCTAATGTTGATTTGTAAACCGCTGTTCGATTGATTCGTATCATTAAATCACGTGGACAATTATAATTTGAATATTTTGATTTCGTTAATGTACCCAGGGATTACACTCGGCAAACCACAGCAGATTCCAGTACCCTACAGCTAGCCTCGGCTGTATGACGAAGTCCGCCATTAAAACTACTTTCAAGTTCCCGGATTACCAACGGCGTTGCCAATGATGACACCTTTGAAGAATGTTTTATCATAAAAGAGAGAGAAATGGGGTTTAACGTCCACTCGACACAAACTAGGTCATTTCGGGACTAACATTAATTTTATTTCAATAATTCGCTTGCGCGTAGGCGTTTTTAGCAGTGGGAGGAAAACGCAGGACTCGGAGAAAACCCACGAGCTTGAACAGGCAACGCTACTCCATGTCATGTACAACCGGGGATTCGAAACCAGGCCAGTTAACTCAATGACAGGCCTCATGATACACACGCACGTCCTACACGTCCTAACCATTCGGCCATCCACCCCCCCCCCCCGCTGCAGGACGGAGGGCCTGACAAGGACAGCTGTCTAGTCGTTTGGATGGGATGAGAAACTGAGGTCCCGCGTACAGATTGGCATGCATGTAAAAGATCCCTTGACAGTTGGAATTCAATATAAGAATAGGCCGTAGTGCCACTGTCTGGGCAAAATTTCCCTCATAGCACACTGTATGGCGTATGCCCGTCTTCATTAGCCCAGTTTGGAGCAGAACAGTAGGACGTTAAACCCCATTTCATTTCATTCAAATTTTCACTAACTGGTTATTGAGCTATAATCATTTGAATGTTGACTGCCAACCCCATGTTGGCCAAAATTAAATGGGTCATATCTCAGAAACCTCTGATCAAGTTCCAATATGGAAGGAACAATTACAATCTAATCCTTCCATATAATATAATGATAGTCAAGGTTTACTAAACTTTATACTAACAAGCCTTCCATACAATATGATAATGATAGTCAAGGTTTACTAAACTTTATACTAACAAGCCTTCCATACAATATGATAATATAGTCAAGGTTTAATAAACTTTATACTAAGAAGCCTTCCATACAATATGATAATATAGTCAAGGTTTAATAAACTTTATACTCATAAGCCTTCCATATAATATGACAGTCACAGTTTACTGAACTTTATACTAATAAGCCTTCCATATAATATGACAGTCACAGTTTACTGAACTTTATACTAATAAGCCTTCCATATAATATGACAGTCACAGTTTACTGAACTTTATACTAATAAGCCTTCCATATAATATGACAGTCACAGTTTACTGAACTTTATACTAATAAGCCTTCCATATAATATGACAGTCACAGTTTACTGAACTTTATACTAATAAGCCTTCCATATAATATGACAGTCACAGTTTACTGAACTTTATGCTATACGAGAGAGAGAAATTGAGTTTAACGTCCACTCGACACAAACTAGGTCATTTCGGCACTAACATAGTTGAATTTTATTTCAATAATTCGATTTCGCCTAGGAGTCTTTAGCAGTGGGAGGAAACCAGAGGACCTGGAGAAAACCCACGAGGTTGGACAGGCGCCCCTACTCCTTGTCACGTACAACCAGGGAGGCGAAACCAGGCCAGTTGACTAAATGACAGACCTTATGATACAGCATGCACGCACTAACCATTCGGCCATCCATATAATACTAAAGTCTAAATGAAAAAATCCTAAATTTAAAATTATTTTGCATATGCTTTGGAAATAAAGGCCAAGAAATATATTACTAGACAAATAACTAGACATATTGAAATCATATAACATATGTAAACACACATATGATATACCTTGATATACAAAACAACTGTGATACAGCCCTACTACGACCTACTCTTATATACTATTCAAAAAAAGTAGGGGATATTTGATTTTGGGGGCATAATACTAAAATATGCAAATAACTACGAAAAAAGTCACTATAGAACCTAACAGAAGAAACATTTCCAGTTACATGTGACGCCCAAACGCACCAATAGCTACCGCATGGAATGCAGGTGATGCTTGGGATCATCATGGGGGTCCAACCCAAGATTTGCACGACTCTGACTTTGAATGTTACAGTCATTGTGGCATTGAATTCCAGGGTGGAAACATCAGTTTAATTGTTTTAGTGACCAGAAAACAAATTTTGATATGCGTCGGCTTACCCAAAATGAAAGGTTACGTGCCCTTGGCATGCTACAGATCGGCACAACACAGGCGGTTGTGGCGCGGACGATGAATGTTTCTCAGTCTGTCATAAGCAGGCTATGGTCCAGATACCGTGATACACAATCTGTACAGGACAGACCACGCTCAGGTCGACCAAGGGCGACAACTCAAGCCCAGGATCGATTTATCCGTACCTTGGCCTTGAGAAATCGTGTCATCACAGCAAATCAGATCAGCGCTCGTCTTCAAACAGACACTGGTGTGAGAGTGAGTGGCCAGACGATTCGGAATCGACTGCATAGGGGTCACCTTCGCGCCCGACGTCCTCGCGTGATCCCTTGTTTGAGAGATCATCACATTCAGGCAAGACGTCGTTGGTGTAGGGATCGTCAACACTGGGATAATCGACGCTGGAGCAATGTGATGTTTTCAGATGAGTCAAGGTTCACTGTTGATTTTTTGGACAGACGTAGGAGGGTGTGGCGTCGTCGAAACGAGCGCTTCCAAGACGTTAACGTCATCAGACATGATCGATTTGGGGGTGGTTCTGTTATGGTGTGGGGAGGCATCACTGTTGCTGGAAGAACGGCTTTACATGTTGTTGCAGGGCGTGTTACAGGCCAGTACTACCGGGACAACATCTTGGCAGTCCATGTTGTGCCGTTCGCACGACGTCATGGCCGCCGTTTCATCTTCCAGGATGACAACGCAAGATGTCACAGGGCCAGGATCGTTACAGGTTACCTCCAACAACAGAACATCACCACATTACCTTGGCCAGCACTGAGTCCCGACCTCTCCCCCATCGAGCATGTCTGGGACATGCTTGGACAGAGGTTACGTCAACGTCAACAACGTCCTGCCAATGTCCAAGAACTTGCTGCTGCGTTGCAACAGGAATGGGACAATCTGGACCAAAATGACCTTAGACGTCTCATTAGGAGTATGCCACGTCGGATCAATGCTTGTTTCGCAAACAGAGGAGGATTTACCCGTTACTGACTTGGTTGTGATGCTGTGGTAACTTTGCTGTTTGACCCCGGGTATCATTTTACCCTTATAATGGTCAGACTGTGCCTTACTTAGTCTAACGATCATTTGGAATAAATCGATGAATGTGAACTTCATTTCATTTTGTCATTTGTTTCTTCGTCAGTTTCATTAGGTGACTTTAATAACACTTAAAAATCAAATATCCCCTACTTTTTTTGAATAGTATATGAATTCCAACTGCCAATGGATCTTTTACCTGCACTTAATGGTTTTTTCATCTCATCTGAACGACTAGACAGCTGTCCTTGACAGGGCGACCTTCGGATGTAGACTATGGTCGCGACTACAGTCTGAACCAGCACCCAAAAGCAAATGGCCCTAGCCATTGACTATTCAGTATGGTGGCGACAATGTCAGTTGTTCCGCCTGCTATATTTTCTCCTATTTACTCATGTATTTTTAAAAACTGATTAATTTTCCATACTGTGATTTGAAAGCAAGCTTAGAATAGGTTACAAATAGGATTTGTCAATATCTGAATATTTTTCATTGGATTTATGTCACCCAACCAAGATCATTTCACACGTACAGTTTTTTGTCGTGTGCCTATATATTCGAATAAGAAGATCCTAATCTGTCAAATTCATCAAAAAAAGACGAAAAAAAATCAAATTTAACATCTATATACATGCCCATTCACTAACTTTCAGGTGTTAACATGGGCCCTATAATACCGACCAAGGTGTAAATAACGCAACGGCAATCGGCAATTTTATTATATTTTTCAGAAAATCTTCTCAAGTGACAGTTTTGTCAGCCATCTTTGAACTATCCCGACCATGCTTTATCGCATGTTACGGCTGGTCACGACCACTGGTTGAACTAAATGCCATTCGCATGCAGATGGTTCGACTATAGTACGAAGATCTGTGCAACCGAAGGTCGCCCTGGCTGTCTGTCCTGCATCACTCACAAGGGAAACCACTCCGGCAAATCCTTTGCATAGAAACATTTTGTGATCTTTATGCTTCATGTATTCATTTTTTACTCCTTTGAGAATCTGGTGGAAATGGCACTATATGAAAATTCTTAATAATGATAATATACAATAACAAACACACACCAATGTATAGGTTTAGATATATTCCACACCTCTTTCAGTAACAAACATGTACAAATGATTACATTTATACGTAAAAAATTTATAAATCTGAGCAACAAACAGATAAATAAAATATGATACAATATTGTACAAGTTAAAAATCAGTGTTTATACAACCACTTCAATTTTTACAAATAACAAAACTTGAAATAAAATGATATAAATACATTGATATATACAAATATACATACATGCATCATATTCCTCGTTTTTTTACAGGGTCCTTTGCTGGACTGATGTTTTTGATTTATTTATTAGTGTACACTTCTAATCAGTCCAGTCAGTCTGATTTCTTCTATTTTCAGTTACATACCATAACATCAAAGTCCGATTTCCTGGCATGTTAACAATAATATTCTATAAGATATTCCAGGCCATGTTAACAATAATATTCTATCCGGGCCATGCTAACAATAATATTCTATAACATATTCCGGGTCATGTTAACAATAATATTCTATATGGGCCATGCTAACAAAAAATATGCTATAACATATTCCAGATCATCTTAAAATATTTTATAATATATTCTGGGTCATCTTAAAATTATTCTATGACATATTCCGAGTCTTCTTAAAATATTCTATAACATATTCCGGGTCATCTTAAAATTATTCTATAACATATTTCGGGTCATCTTAAAATATTCTATAACATATTCCGGGCCATCTTAACAATAATATTTTATAACATATTCCGGGTCATGCTAACAATAATATTCTATAACATATTCCGGGTCATTTTAAATTATCCTATAACATATTCCAGGTTATGTTAACAATAATATTCTATAACATATTCTGGGTAACTCTGCGAACTATCAAATATAATAAACATATCGGGTCTATTTAAATTATTCACTGCTGAATTATAAAGTCTTTTCTTGCTGTCAGAAATATCTGGTGGAGGTCTTCGTATTCCTTTAGCTCCTTGAAATGGGCGTCCGCATACAACCCTAGCCATGAACATTAATTTAACTTTTCTTCCCGTAGATGGACCACCTCCAGATGTCGACTGCTGTCCAAAATAATTAAAACCGCTTGTCCGTGATTGTGCAGCAGGATATGGTGGAAACGGAGATGCTAAAAAGGAAACAGGTCCGAAGGGATTCCCAGGAGTTTGTCCGATAGATGATTGAGTGTTATTAACAGAAGTGGTATCATCTGTCGGAGTTGTAGTATTGGTCGGATTATGCGATGACGTATCATTCTGTATACTGACGGTTGCCGATTTCTGTGTTAATGGTATAAAATGTCCGAATGATAAAGATTTCATCACATCTTGTGTTTCACTGATTGGTTGGGTCAATTTATTAGAATATTGAGCTTCAACTGCAAAATATGCACCTAGAAGTAGACAAAAACATATATTAATAACATGACAGCCATATATTAATAACATGTATGAGCTTACAATATGGACCAGGATCCAATCATGATGTCATGACAGCCATCTTGGAATTGTGGCAGCATATCAAACATTGAAGTCCCTAATGATTAATCGATGCGTAATTGTCCAAGAGAGGGACATATATCCAATCTTCTGATAATATATTTCTTATATTGAATTTCAACTTACAAAATCATCTTTTACATGCACGCCAATGTGTACACAAAAACTTGTTTTTTCATCCTATCCGAACGACTATACATTGTCCCTTGCCTGGCCCTCATTCCTGCACCACTGACAAGAAGGAACAATGCCGGAAAATCCTGAAGAACTTTCTCGGGCCTACTCAAGGATTGAACACGGGAAATCCAGGTTAGCGTGCCAATGTCTTACTCACTGAGAGAGAAATGGGGCTTAACGTCCACTCGACACAAACTAGGCCATTTCAGGACTAACATGGTTCAATTTTAATTCAATAAATTGGCTTGTGTGTAGGGGTCTTTAGCAATGAGAAATGGGGCTTAACGTCCACTCGACACAAACTAGGCCATTTCAGGACTAATATGGTTCAATTTTAATTCAATAAATTGGCTTGTGTGTAGGGGTCTTTAGCAATGGGAGGAAACCGGAGAAAACCCAGGAGATTGGACAGGCGACCCTACTCCTTGTCACGTACAATCGGGAAATCGAAAACACGCAATTTGATCGATGACAGACCTTTTATAACAAATGGCCATGTATAATTAAGACAACCTACCGTCACCATAAGCTGCTCCAACTTGTTTTCCTGATAAACGCCAGTCAAAACCCTGCTGACAAATCTGTTGGATGTTTTGGGGGTTGGTTCCATGAAACAGATGTCTCTCATTTAACTTCTGAGCACCAAAATCATCACAGATATGTTTCCTAGAACTACAATGAAACAAATAATATTACAGTCTAAGTACACAAGCTTTAAAGAAGCAATCTTAGATCTACTAGCGCAGTGATTCTCAACCAGTGTGGCGTGAGATCTTACTAAGTGTGCAATGAAATTTAGCACACTAAGAAAATTTTTCGCTAAAGCCAGCTATTTGACTGATGAAAATCGAAAGATTGCAATAATGTAAGTTCATAGTTGTGTATTTCTTTATTTAGTTTGAGTCATTCTATGTGTCTATAACTAGTTTGTGTCTACGGTTGTATGCCGTCTATGACTTATCATGTTTTTATTTTGCAAAAATCAAATATTTTTCATATATATTTAGCCAGGTGTGCCACTCATTGTTCATGTGTTCCATGGTGTGCCGTTGGCAGAAAAAGGTTGAGAAACACTCTACTGGCCGTTAACCAAGCCATAAACCGGAAGAAGCATAACTCCGAAACCGGAAGTGGTAGGCCTAAATACCAAATTTCAGCCAACCCTGAACAGACAGACAGACAAACAAACGACAGTCACAAATATTAGTATAGATAAAAACCAACCACCGGAATTGCAATTGAGTGATGCGGAATTCAGTCCTGTCAGTCCCGACAACTAAGGTGGTGTGAGTAGAATCATGACGTAATTAAACAAAATGAATATGTTTCAACTGTCATGGTTGGTTGAGATATTTCCTTGTGCAGTCAGCACATGCGTTCTAGCCCCAAATCCCCATTTTCACCCGATTGTCACTATTTTTGGGTTTGATAGAATTCTATTCCGGAACGTTCAATCCAGCATCGACTTAGTGAGTAGAACAAGTAGAATCAAGGGAGATAATTGACTTGTGTTTAAAGATAAAATACCTACAGATAATATTTCTCCCATAATTTATTATTCTGTATTCTATAAATAGATTTAATCAGGGTCTGTGACATTGACGCTAACATCAAATCTTTTACAGCTCGGTACTCTTCATGCTTTTCCTCCAACGGTAAAATACAAAAATCCTGGAAAAATATCCAACACATCTCTCAACATTGTTTTTTTTATTTATTATTAAAACAATAATTTATTCACCTATTAAAAGGGATTGAGGAACATGCATACAACCTCTCCTCAACATTATGTCATTTTGTATGCTTGACAAGGACTAATGAAATATGACCTCCCTTCAACATTGTGTCATTTTGTATGCTTGACAAGGACTAATGAAATCTTGTTGAAATGTTGTATGTATATAATATAGTGATCGTTCCATAGAACTGTGGGGGGATCATGGTGGGTGAGTGGGTAAGACACTGGCTTGCTAGCCTGGAGGTCGGGTGTTCGATCCCTGCATTGGCCGAGAAAGTTCATCCAGATTTTCCGGCTTAGATTTCTGCACTAACGGGGATTAATATAAACAGGCATACGCCATACAGTGTGCTAAAAGCATAATTTTGGCCTACTCGTATTTCGTTTTCCAGCTGTGAATGGTATACACAAGAACTTAGTTTTCCAGCTGTGAATGGTATAAACAAGACCTTAGTTTTCCAGCTGTGAATGGTATACACAAGAACTTAGTTTTCCAGCTGTGAATTGTATAAACAAGACCTTAGTTTTCCAGCTGTGAATGGTATAAACAAGACCTTAGTTTTCCAGCTGTGAATGGTATAAACAAGACCAGAGAAGCTTTTCTATGCCAGACCCTCTGTCATTCACCATTAACAAGAAAGGGGGGATTCAAAGGAACTTAGCCTGCCAACTTAGCTCCAACTTATCAAAATTATCATATGGAGAGAGAAATAGGGTTTAACGTCCACTCGACACAAACTAGGTCATTTCGGGACTAACATATGGTTCAATTTTATTTAATTCAATCGCTTGTGCCTAGGGATCTTTATCAGTGGAAGGATACGTATGAGGTTGGACAGGTGACACTACTCTTTGTCACATACAAGCATTACGCGTTAACCATTCGGCCCAATCCCCCATTATCAAATAAGCAAAAGAAAAAAAAAAAGTTATAAAATCGTACCTTATCTGTCTCGACTTCTATATCTTTCCAGTATTTAGGACAAGAAGTCACGACCCCATCGCTTCGTTTTCTATCTACTAATGTTAGTAAAGCTGTACAGTGAGTGTGAGAATCATCATTCCACGATTTCTTACAATATCGACAAGATGACTGAAACATTAAACATGACATAGCTAACATTATATAATTACTTCTCATCCGAGGAGTTCACATAGCTAATAATATATAATTATTTCTCATCCGAGGAGTTCACATAGATAACAATATATAATTACTTCTCATCCGAAGAGTTCACACATCTAACGTTATATAATTACTTCTCATCCGAAGAGTTCACACAGCTAACATTATATAATTACGTGTCATTCGAGGAGTTCACACAGCTAACAATATATAATTACTTCTCATCCGAAGAGTTCACACAGCTAACGTTATATAATTACTTCTCATCCGAAGAGTTCACACAGCTAACATTATATAATTATGTGTCATTCGAGGAGTTCACATAGCTAACATTATATAATTACTTCTCATCCGAGGAGTTCACATAGCTAACATTATATAATTACTTCTCATCCACTCTGTTTGTGTCTACCCAATAGCTTTAGTTTACGACCCCTGACGTGACCTATCGCTATAACTTGTCAGATCTTCATGTAGTATAAAAAACAAAATGAAATATAGATTTGTATTTCAATCAGATTGAACGCACTCATTAACCATTCGGCCTCCCCCACCAACCAGGACAGAGGGTGTTGCTTTCGATCCTAGTTGCGAGACAATTATGATAATCAGTAATAGAAAGATGGACATTTACTTACCAGCATACAGTCTGGATTACCACAGTGAAACTCTTTCTCTATCTGTAACAGCTCAGCAGTGAAACCACATTCCGGACATCTGATTAAATAGAAGATAAAAACATGAGTGGCCATTCAACTTGAGAGAGAGAGAGCGAGAGAGAGAGAGAGATGGGGTTTAACTTCCACTCAACACAAACAAGGTCATTTCGGGAATAACATATGGTTCAATTTTATTTCAATAATTCGCATGTGTGTAGGGGTCTTTAGCAGCTTTGTAGTCTGAGCTGTTTACAAAGGCTTCAACATTTTAATTTTAATTTTGAAAAAGAATCCAAAATAAAACAGAAATCTCAATGAACAATCTCATTAGGTTTGTAAAAGCCTAAATCTAAATGGGAAGAGAACTTTGAAATTTGGAAAATTGATGACTATTATACATAGAAACTGGTATCCATCTTTCATCAATGCGGCTCATAAATTTGGTTCTGGATCTGGTGGGACTACTTTTTTGTTTGCTCATCCGAAGCTCTAGTTTCTTGCTAAAAATAAACATATCACAGTCCCGACTCTTCAATTAAATGATATAGATATAGGCACCACTATGTAAGCATGCTTTGACATTGTTCTGGTGACTAATATCCCCACATAAGGTCAGTATTGTTTCCATGTAATGTAACGCAGTACTATACTATATTCTCTAGGTTATTTATAGTAACATGTGTATACCTGACTATATTTTTCTGAGTTATTTATAGTAACATGTGTATACCTGACTATATTCTCTGAGTTATTTATAGTAACATGTGTATACCTGACTATATTCTCTGAGTTATTTATAGTAACATGTGTATACCTGACTATATTCTCTGAGTTATTTATAGTAACATGTGTATACCCGACTATATTCTCTGAGTTATTTATAGTAACATGTGTATACCTGACTATATTCTCTAGGTTATTTATAGTAACATGTGTATACCTGACTATATTCTCGAGGTTATTTATAGTAACATGTGTATACCTGACTATATTCTCTAGGTTATTTATAGTAACATGTGTATACCTGACTATATTCTCGAGGTTATTTATAGTAACATGTGTATACCTGACTATATTCTCGAGGTTATTTATAGTAACATGTGTATACCTGACTATATTCTCGAGTTTGTTTATAGTATTTTCATTTTCTTTCTCCAAAATCTCGTTAAACAACTCCATAATTTCACCAGGCACGATTCTTTTAAGTTCACCTACAATAAACACATGGATATCAAACAATTATAGTTCACATTAGAATTAGACGCATAAAATTATAATTATAATTCACAAAAACATACATAATTAGAATCACAGTACCATAGGCAATTAGAATTCACAGTAGCATAAACAATTAGAATTCACAGCGCAATAGACTATTAGAATTCACAGTATACTTATAGACAATTAGAATTCACAGAACCAAAGACAATTGAAATTCACAGTATTCAAAGTGGTAGAAATGAAAGTAATGAATATTTTGTTGTACCCACCAATTGACATAAAACTTGTACAATCTTTAACTTTACATTCTATCTGTAACTGAAATTATAAAACATACAATACACACTAGAACCTCTCTTTGGAATTATAAAACATATGATATACACTAGAACCTCCTGGGGGAATATAAACATACAATATACAGATACACAAGAAACTCCCTTGGGGAATATAAACATACAATATATACAGATACACAAGAATCTCCCTGGGGAGAGAATGGTTTGGGATTTAAAGGACAATGTTGGTGTCAGTCATTGTTACATAAATTGTGATAGAATATTAAAGATACATTATGGGAGATAAGATAAAAAGTTGGCAGTTTTCACTATAATAGTTAAAAACTAGATAATGTAAAGGGAATTTGCCAAAAATTTCAGTCAAATTGATCCACTTTGAACCGAGAATTTAGCAATGAATTTTCGGCCTGGTCACGATCATCATTACTAAAGTCGGTACTATAAAAAACATAGTCTCAATTATCCGTTTCATGATTAAATCATGAATGAAAGTTAAGCAGCAAATTGGGTCCTAATCCAGTAAATACTGCAGGCTAGCGATGCCATCGAGAGTTGATTAATGTCTAATTAATAATTTAGATAACATTTCAGGCCTTAAGAAAGATGTGCAATAGGCAGATTTAGCTCTTGCATAATGTACAGTATGTTTAACACAGAGATCGTTACTACGGTTGAATTAAATCATCGTTAGGGCTCAGCTAGATATTTCTCTGTTTTTCTTACCTTTTTAGAATTTGCATTCAGTAATGGTTTAATTTCCTCCCAAATACACTTTGGACACAGTAAATGTCCTTCACAGCATTGCCCTAGTTTTGAGAGATTGTAGAATTGATGACAACTTTCACACGGGCAACAATCTGGAATATAAAATATAATGAAAATAGGCAGTTGACAGATGAAATGAAATTTAACATCCTACATTTCTGTGTCGAAGGGGATAATGGGAGTCTGGATGACAAGTTAGAAACGTTCACTGACAAATATGGTGTGACTATACAGTACTAGACTCTTGGTATGGTGGAACTATCAACTATACAGTACTAGAAACTTAGTATGATGGGAATATCAACTGTACAGTACTAGAAACTTAGTTTGGAGTTTGGTGGGACTATCAACTGTACAGTACTACACTCTTGGTATGGTGGGACTATCAACTGTACAGTACCAGTAACTAGGTATGGTGGGACCATCAACTATACAGTACTAGAAACTTAGTATGGCGGGAATATCAACTGTACAGTGCTAGAAACTTAGTTTGGAGTTTGGTGGGACTATCAACTGTACAGTACTACACTCTGGGTATGGTGGGGCTAACAACTGTACAGTACTACACTTTTGGTATGGGGGGACTATCAACTGTACAGTACTACACTCTTGGTATGGTGGGACTATCAACTGTACCGTGCTAGAACTTAGTATTAGGGACTATCAACTGTACTGTACTACACTCTTGGTATGGTGTAACTATCAACTGTACAGTACTAGTAACTAGGTATGGTGGGACTATCAACTGTACAGTACTAGTAACTTAGTATGGTGTGTAGCACTGCACATATTTGAATACCAACACTATAAGTGCTAGGAACTTAGTATGTTGTGCATGTATTTCAGTAACAACACGCTTTACACAGTGCTAGGAACATAGAATGTTGTGCAGCGCTGAATGTATTTTCAACGCTAATATAATTTGTAATTCATAAATCTGTGATAACATAAATTGTGTAATTAACTAACCTTCATCAGTGGTGGCGTTACTGGCATCACAATCCATTGGAGTAGAACTACTGGTATCAACATCATCTTGATTGTTAACAGATTTATCATCTTCCTAACATATACAAAATTTTCTCAAATTAAAAGAGAGAGAGATAGAGAGAGAGAGAGAGAGAGAGAGAGATAGAGAGAGATAGAGAGAGAGATAGAGAGAGATAGAGAGAGAGATAGAGAGAGATAGATAGAGAGAGATAGAGAGAGGGATAGAGAGAGAGATAGAGAGAGATAGAGAGAGGGATAGAGAGGGATAGAGAGAGATAGAGAGAGAGATAGAGAGAGATAGAGAGAGGGATAGAGAGAGATAGAGAGAGAGATAGAGAGAGAGAGAGAGAGATAGAGAGGGATAGAGAGAGATAGAGAGAGAGATAGAGAGAGATAGAGAGAGAGATAGAGAGAGAGATAGAGAGAGGGATAGAGAGAGATAGAGATAGAGAGAGAGATAGAGAGAGATAGAGAGAGAGATAGAGAGAGAGAGAGAGGTTTAACATCCACTCCTCACAAACTAGGTCATTTCGAGATTAACATTATATGGTTCAATTATATTCCAATAATTTGCCAGCGAATAGGGGTCCTTAGCTGAGGAAAACTCACGATACTGGACAGGCGATTCTACTCCGTGTCACGTTCAATAAACTGACAGACAATAGTCAGTGATACCCTGACACTTTTACCCAGTGCTTGCCCCGTAGGTGTTTTTCAGGTAATCCAGTATTTCGATACAACGCGAACGCGCTAACCATTCAACCCTTCCATAAACTATTAAATCTGTTTACCTTTTTAACATATTTAATAATAGATGAATGATCATTCAGTGACATATCTTCATCGGCTTTTCTCTTTCTGTTGATTTCTAGTGACATAGTCGTATTCAAGGTCTGTTGACTGGAATCAAGAGTAGAACACGATGCCGCCTTGTCAAGATGTTTAGTCTTGGCTGTATGTTTTTTTGGCAGGGATAACAACAGTAAGTTATTATCGCTCTCATCGATCTCGATGGTTCTATGTTTTTTGTACGGACTATCAAACATGGTATTACAAACAACCTGGCTATAATTTGTTGGATCTTGGGTTTTTATAGCTTTAAGTTGATTCTCTACCCAGTTTCTATCAGCGTCAGGAAATATATCTAACTGTAATGACAAAAAATACATAACAGAATAATCGGCTGTTTCCACTCAACAAAAATCGTTTGTTTCCACTCAACAATAATCGACTGTTTCCCTCAACAATCCCCTCAACAATAATTGGCTGTTACCACTCAACAATAATTGGCTGTTTCCACTCAACTTAACAATAATTGGCTGTTTTCACTCAACGTAACAATAATCAACTGTTTCTACTCAACAATAATTAGCCGTTTCAAATCAACTCAACAATAATTGGCGGTTTAATCCTACAACAAGAGGTGTATTGGTATGAATATATGTTTAAGTGTTCACTCAGTTGCACCACAGTAAATATAGTGGTAGCTGGAATGGAAATGCACACGGCTCGCTGCCTGGTGTATTTAATCATTTAAAAAGTTTTAAACAATTTTCATAAATAAAGGCTATGAATAATTTATAAGAAAATTTACAAAATCAAATAATTAGATCGGGAAAATATTTCACATATAAATATAATTTGTAGCGTAAATATAGACAGGATATGTGAGAAAGGAATTCCAGGGGGCGTTACTTGTCCTCCGCACGCGGTACATGTAAATACGGTATCATGCACAGGTGTGATTCGTGTTTTGATAATCAATGTATATTTTAAAATCTGAATTCTACACCTCAACAGCGAAGTATTCGATTTAGTACGCAAGTTTGGTACCATGATACTTGGCGGAATTAGCATGGATACGGATGATAGAATTGTACGAATCTTCGAGTCACTGAGCCAAAGCAGATTCGCTGACTTTCAAGAACTTTTAGGCATTCCGATGTCGAAGAAATAAAGAGGTTTCATATTACGATATTTATATGGAGCAATGTGTGTCAAGACCTAAACAATTTAAGAGTGTGTGTGTGTGTACACATGTATGGATATGTGTCATGTGATTGGTCTTTGATAATTGAGCGAGACAGGTTATTTACCTGAGTGAAAAGGAGAATTTCGAAGTACAATGCATGTGCCGACTGCATACAAAATCTCTCAACCAATCATGAAAGCTGAAACATATTTGTTATTAAAAATACGTCACGATTCTACTCACAACACCTCAGCTGTTGGGACTGGCAGAACTGTGACATCGCTGAATTCTGTATCACTTGATTCCAATTCTGTCAATTCGGGACGTTCTGGATTGACAAACGAGCCCTATCAGTGAATTCGCAGTAAATTTAAAAGGGGAATAACTCTAGTTTTATTGTATTGTCTAGGAACAGTTATATTTTCTCAGTTTAATAATACTCACCACTGTCTGTAAGGATGAATGGATGTCCTCATCACCCTCTTCTACTAGATTCAAAACGGCAACATCTTCTTTCGATGATTTTTTGTCTTCATTCTTGAAATGTCCCAGAACCACACTTTCTATCACATTTGATTTCAAGGGTGATAACCCATCATTTGCGTTCCTTTGTTGAGAGTTTTGCTTTATTGGAGAAATTGAATTTACTTTGTTTAAAGTAGTTATTGAGGAATTTTTATCTTCGTCATCTGATATATTTATAA